ATCATGATGACGTCGGCAACAGTGGCAGCGATGATGGTATCAGCGATTATGGCGGCGATGATGACGATGGATGGGAGAGCTTGAGGAATGATGGTGGCAATTGCGACGATTGTCGATGACGATGACGTGATGCGTCGGGGCTGATGAGGGTGATGGTGAGGAAGTCCGCGCGCGTGCAGATTCCTAGAACCCTGGCAAGCCTGTCACTGCACAATATTTTCTGTTTCATACGTTTAGAATAACTCCATGTTGACATGCATCTAACAGTAGCATGGTGTTGGAAGGATCTCGACACGCGTGCGTGGCGGCGCGCGCGTGTGGCCCGCATGGTGCTGAATGATAGGGGTTCGTGCGCTGGGCCCATGCTGGACCAACGCGGATGCACCAGGCGGTCGGCGAAATCATAGTGCAGGTTCTGGGCGAGGTTTCTGCGTTCGTATGGTTTCCAATGATTTCAACACAGGCGCCTGGGCAGAAAAATTTGCAAACTATGTGATGAACCAATCATGAATGTTGTGTGTTCGTGCTTGTATGGTGGAATCCATGCTGAACTTGAATGTTTGATATGGTTGCGATATACGCCCGTTTTTCTTCAAATGGAAACATAATCTTTTGCGAGCGGGAGGGAGTGAGAATGGGACCGCCTGGGATTAGATGGTTCATACGGGAGATGAACGACGAGGGAGATTCACATGTACTTTGCAGCGTCTTGGGGGGGGGTCGATAATCCCAGGGGGAGGGGGGGAGTCTATCGTCTCCTTAGAAAAGAGGAGATATATGGTGCAATCGATAATGGTGCGAGATATGTGGTGCACTCTGTGGGATGGAATGTATGCAGTGCAAGCTATTTCGTGCACGCTAGTTCGATAATTCGCAAAGGTGTCTGTCTATGTGTTGCAATCGATTTAGTGTAATTTTAGTTGTGCCGTATGTGTAGTTTTGCTGCAATCAGGGTGTGGGAAATTCTTATACGTGCCCAGGCGCTCTGGCCAAGTAGTGGTTGGTAAGAAGGGCGGATGCCATGGGCGTGGGACAGACACACAAAAGCGCAATTCAGAACGACCAATCTTAAAATGACTGCTGCTGTTATTGATGCCTCTATTGATGATGCTGATGCTGTGTCTGTCGGCGGTGGTGACAAGTGGTCAACTCTTGATGAGCACTAGAACAATCGCACGTGCTCAAGGTCTGGCCACCTTGGAGCACACTTAACGCGTGGCGCGAAGGAAACATCACCTTGGAATCAGTGGTGTCAGGGTCTTCGAATTCTCTACGGTCGTGGAAGACACTAGTCGGAGAGTGTTTCTACTCAGTGCAAGCGGCACGGTTCATAATGCGCCAGGGGTTGGAAAATGATGGAATGGCATTCGTACCAGGGTTTGGGTGTCCGGACGGTGGCTGGGTTGTTTGTCCTGTGGCGATGTCAAGCTTAGGACTTCTGCCAGGGTCAAGGTTCAAGTCGGTTCTTGGTTGGGGTCAGGGCTTGGGTTATCGCGGGGACCAAGGAGGGCGACGAAGGCGGAAGGGAGGATGTCGATGAAGCGCAAGGGAACAGGAAGGAGGGACAAAAAGGGGGAGAGGATGGAGACACATCGAGGAAACGGGAGAAAAGCACGGATGCATGGATGGATGGATGGAGGGAGGGAGGGAGCGGAACGGAGAGGGGCAGGGCTAGACAAGCGGGTGGAGGGGGGGCAGAGAGGGGGGGGAAGCTGGCGGAGGGATTGAGGAGCCAGGAGGGTGAGGGAGCAGGGGCCAATGCCGAGGATGGTGGGCGGACGAAGGAGACAAACCGACTGGAAGAAACGCGAGCGGGTAGGAGGGCAGGAGGGAGACGGAACCACACCTCCGACATCGTGTCGTCTCGGTGCGTGGGCCTGCGGGGCTCTGGACCCCTATCACCAGGACTAACTTTTTGTCGCGGGTAGTCCTCGAGTTGGCCCAGACCAGCAAGCGTGCCCCCCAGGAGCTCAGCCTGCAGGGCGCTTCTGGGGCCAGCGCGGACGCCTCGAAGCCAGAAAAGACGAGAGGGGCTTCGTTTGTTTTTCGCCTCTCGGGGCTCTCGCGGTGCAGTCTCGGGGCTGCCTGAAAGCACTTCCGGGGGCCCTTCTGGTCCTTCTGGAGCTCCTCTTTGGCTGCCAGGAGACCGTCGAGCGCCGTCTGGTGGCCGTTCGAGGCCGCCTTCGGGATCTCTTGGGGCCGTCCTGGGTCGGCCTTGGGGCCAGCCGGGGGCTCTCGTGGGGTTGGTTTGGGCCGTCGGCTTCTTGGGCCATCTTGGACGCTCAGAATGCCGAGACGGCGACGATGCCAACATAATTTGAGGACAATGGGGGGACTGCCTTTTGCTTTTCGGGATCCTTTTGGAAGCTCTCTTGGAGCGCTCTTGGAACGTCTTGGGAGCCCACGGCGCAATCTTGGAGCCTCCTCGGGCCGTCTCTCGGTCCACTCGGGGCGGTCTTGTGGGCACTGGGGCCGCCTTGATTCGTCTGAGGCCGTCTTGGGGTTCGAAGCAATTGGACTGGTCCTGGTCCCTCCGTTTGATGTCGGGGCCGCGTCCTGGGATCCCTTGGCCGCTTTCTGTGTATACCCATATATCAATATATATTTATATATATATATATATATATATTTACACAAATGTATCGACGCACGTGGCTCCACATAGGTGTACTAGTGTCGTCCCGCAATCTTGTTGGGCGTCTCTGGTTGCACGTGCCGTCGTGGCAGGATAACTAACAGTGCGCGGCATCTGCTCTCTCCATCTTTTGCTCCTCTTCTCGCTCTCTACGCTGTCGACCTCTGAGCTTCTGCTGCTCAATTCCTCTTTCACCCCCCACTGGCTCTCTCCCATCCGCGTTCCGACATTTGCAGAGCACCAGTCGTGGGCAACCATCCTAGCAATGGCGCTGTTCAGGCCCGCAGGGCTACCAAGTGCGACGTTCTGTACATGCAAACTAATCAACGCCTGCCTGTACCAAATATGGTGCGCGGCTCCTCTAATTCGCTATCCACCACCAATTCCACAACTCGACGAACACCTTGTCGCCGAAAGAGCGCAGCCGAGGCAGAATGCAACTTAATGTAACCGGTCCGTACCCAGAGAGAATAATCGACAGAAGGGTAAGGGGCACTGTCATGCTTTCTTCTGTGGTGATGAAGGGCAAGCCGTGAAGAATGTTGCGCCATCGCTACTCGCACGAGCAAGCTGTCAGGGAACAGGGTTGCCATAAGTTCAAGAGCATTGGCTCGATCGCGTGAAACTCCTATGAAACTTGGCGAATTTAAAAGTGCGTGGATGCAGGCACGCGCAAACACACCACACTTGCCATTCGCCGCCTCCTCCTTTCTGCGCAGCATGCAGCAACGTATACCCGCTGGAATTTCCTCGCTACTGCTGGTGTGCTGGCTTCTCCAACTGCTGGCCAACCGCTTCCACCCGCTCTCGACTTCACCCGTATGCATATCTCCTTTCATTGCAATTGTGTCTCTGTGTCCACTCTATTCAACTAATCATCCAACTTCTGCCTAGAGGAGTTCCCTCAGACACGATACGCCACGCACGGAATCGGCCAGGGTGCCTCGAGGCACGAGTTGGAGTGCCCTCAGGTCCCTTGAATCCTCAGCTGGAGTAGTGAATGCTAAGAAGCCCGCAGCCCAAATTGCTGGGGTGTGTCGCGTGGCTCCGCGTGACTCTTGGGGCTTCGCGCGGGCCAGAGGGCCCCAGGATTCGCCCACAGCAGGTGAAGAGGTTACCAAGACGGTGCAAGAGGCGCCTGAAAACGGCCCAAGAGCGCTAATAGGACGCCTCAAGAAGACCCCTCGAGGACCCCAAGAGGGCAACATCGCCTAAATTCCTTGGGTGATCGAGTGTTTTTAGCATTATCGCGATTTTGGTCGTAAGAGCGCCCAAGAAGGCCCAGTAAGCTCCAACATCGTCCCAAGACGGCCCAAGGGGCATCCAAAAGGGGTTTCCAGAAGGCCCAAGGGGCCCCATGATGGCCCAAGATGCCTCCAAGACGACCCAGAGGCCCTTAAGACGGCCCCAAGAGGGGGAACCTGAACTGGCCTCTCGAGCCCTCCACCCCAAGATGTTCCGAAGAGCCCACCGGAGGCGCTCTGGGCACCCCAAAAATCATCAAGGGGCCTCCAACAGGCCTCCAAGAGGCCCCGGAGAGGCCCCCAAGAGGCCCCACGAGTCCTCCAAGAGGCCACCCAACGCCCTCCAATTGGCCCCCGAGAGGTATCCCAATATACTCGAATATGCATCAAAAAGGCCTCTGACCCACAACCCAAGCACGGTGACGGAATGGGCTGAAGGCCGCTACCCCAAAGACATTGCTCCCGTTTTGGAACAGCCTCCCGTACAATGAGCTTGCAAAACCTGGTCAAAGCAATGTGGATGGACAGACTGCTGTGGCCAACTCTCCAGCCAATCCCAGCCAACCCTCCAGTTACCAGCCCCTGCCAACCACCTGGCCAACTCCCCCTGCCAATGTGACTGTTCATGGTGATCCTTTCAGCGAGACATGCGATATTTTGTCGGAATATTGCTCTGCAGAAATTGGCTCTCAACTGATGGCGTTGCAAGTCGCCGCTGCATCGCCGATGCATCGGCGATGTATCGGCAGTGCACCGGAAAGCCAAGATGGGGAACATCTACCTCCAAATCGAGCCGCATCGCCGATGCATCGGCGACGCGGCGCAATCGTCCGACCCAATCTGCTCGGACCCCAGTTGGGCGGCTTGGAACCAACAGGCGGGTGGGTTGGGGAGTGCAGAGCAGCGCGTTGGCAAAGAGACCTGGACGCCTGAATTCGGTACGGAAGCAGTGTGCGTACGGTACCCAGCAGGAAATGTTGTCCCAAACCGACGGCGGCCGCTGTTGGGCAGGCGCCTGTCTGTCTCAAATGGGCAACGTCAGCGGCGACACCGACAGCGAGTCCTCTGCACAATGAACAGGAACTGCTGTCGGTCTTCGTTCTCGTTCTTTCCGTACCGATCTAGGGGCCTCCCAGATTGGGCCAGAGGATCGGGCCCTCTTGGGGATGCATCGGCGATGCATCGGCGTGGCCGACGTGGAGAACATCGGGCTCCACATCGAGCCACATCGCCGACGCATCGGCGACGCGGTGCGACCCTCCAACCGCATCTGCTCGGACCACATCTGGGAGGCCTGGGCCTGGACACTCTTGGTCATGCCGAGGAGAGGGCTGAGCGCCACTCCGGGGCGGGAGCGCCGCCGCCACCGCGGCCGCAGCAGCAGCGGCGCTCCGAGAGCGCAGCGCCGCGGCCGCTGCCGAGACCATGTCCATGGCTTGGCGTCGCGAGCGTGGGCGTCGCGCAAGGAGGGGTGGCCTCCTGAGAAGGCGGGGGGGCCTCCAAGGATGCAGAGGGCGTCTCAGAAGCCCTCCTCGGGGCGGGGTTCTCAGAAGGCGGGGGGCTTCCAAGAATGCAGAGGACTACTCAAAAGCCCCCAAGAGCTTCTGAGAAGGCGGGGTGGGCTTCTGAGAAGGAAGGGTGCTTCCAAAATGCCTCCTCGGAAACCTCTGGGCCCTCATTAGAAAGCCCCTGACTTCTACGAGGCCTCCAACGAGCGTTCTGAGTCAGATATCGATATCGCCACTCCCCAGGCGGCTGCAGGGGTACGTTCTGGCCCGAATTTCTGGGAGAATCCAACCGTGGCGACGAGAGCTCTGCAGGACTAGAGCAGCAGTATCGGTACCTCCCCTTTCTCTCCTCCGACTGAGACGGCCGCCCCCCTCGCGCCATCGCCTTTATGTAAGCCGTGGAATGGCGCCGTTCTGAGCCGGGAGTCGACGACAGGCGCTGCTGAATGGGGGGGCGATCGCTGGGGGTAGAGAGGGGGGGGAACCGTGCGCCTGTCGTGCCCCTGTTGGGCCCCGCGGGACCCCCTTGTAGGGCGCAGCGCCCGAAGAGGCCTGGGTGCGCCGGTCTCCGTGCCTCTACTCGCGAGGCTGCGCTCGGTGCCCCAGCCTCGGGTCGCACGGCGTCTCGGTCAAACGCCTGCGTCGCCGCCTGGGAGCCCTTGCCCTCCCGCCTCCTCCCTCCCTCCTTCCTGCCACTCCCCCTTTCCTCCTCCCCCCTCCTCCACGTTCCCCTCCTGCGAGAGCAAGCGCGGTCTGTGGCCTACACACCCTCGCCGCCGCCGAGCTGGCGACGAACGGGTAGCCCTCTTCCTCCTCCTCCTCCTCCTCCTCCTCCTCCTCCTCCTCTTCCTCCCACTCCTCCCTGTCGCACCCCGAGGCCGGTCGAAAGGGCGGGCCGGGCGTTTCGCCTGAGGCTTCCTCACCACTGATGGAGGGCAGGTGGTTTTCAACATGTGGCTCTCGCCTTAGCGCCACACACATTCGTTCTAAACATCTGCAAGAGTTTCAAGGATTAAGGGCGGGTGGTTTTCAAAATGTGGGTCTCGCCTTAGCGCCGCGCGCATTCGTTCTCAAAATTTGCAAGGGCTTCGCGAATTGAGGGCGGGTGGTTTTCAATTTGTGGTTCTCTCCTTCGCGCCGAGTCCATTCATTGTACAAATATGCAAGAGCTTCACGGATTGAGGGCGGTTCGTTTTAAACATGTGGCTCTCGCCTTAGCGCCGCGCACATTCGTTCAAACAATTTGCAAGAACTTCACGGCTTGAGGGCGGGTCGTTTTCAAGATGTGGCTCTCGCCTTAGCGCCGCATACACTCGTTCTACAACTTTGCAGGAGTATCACGGATTGAGGGCGATTCCTTTTCAAACTCTGGATTTCGTCCTAGCGCCGCGCACGTTCGTTTCCATTATTTGCAACATCTTCACTGGATCTCATGGAGCACGTACCAGAAATTGTGATTTGGCAAATCAGTCATGTTGATTCGCGGTGCTGAAATCCGAGGAATGGTGTTCTGGTAAGATTCAGGATCGCCAAGATGCAACAGTCAGGTTAACTCGTGGCGTTGAAATCCTGAGAATGGTGTGTTGGCACGTTTCAAGATGGGCCCATGAAGAGGGATCTTGGAGGGAGGATGCATATCAACATCGTTGATGAGTCTTGGGTTTGCACTGGTCCTCCTCCTCCTCCTCCTCCTCCTCTTCTTCCTCCTCCTCCTCCTCCTCCCCTCCCTCCTCCTCCTCCTCCTCTTCCTCCTCCTCCTCCTCCTCCTCCCTCCTCCTCCTCCTCCTCCTCCCCTCCTCCTCCTCCTTCTCCTCCTCCTCCTCCTACTCCTCTCCTTCTCTTCCTCTTACCCTCCTCTTACTCTCTTTTTTCCTCCTACTCCCTGCTCCTCCTGCTGTTCCCGCTCCTTTTGCTCTTCCCTCCCTTCTCCTGCTTTCTCCTCCCTCCTTCTCCTCCTCCTCCTCCTCCTCCTCCTCCTTTCCCTCCCTCTCTTCCCCCTCCCCCCCGCACGTCCGAGCGCGGCAGGGGTGCGGTGCGGAGGTGCAGCACCCTGGCGCGCCGCCGCCGCAGGGGTGACGCGGCGCTGGACGCGAAGCGCGGCAATCAATCCGACCTGGGGCGCCCCCGCCCAGCCGGGCGCGCGCTCCGCCTCCCCTCCACCACCACCACCACTTCCTCCCCTCCTCCCCTCCTTCCCCGTGCTACTCATCTTTCTCCTTCTCTTCTTCCCTCGTGCTGCTCGTCGTTGTCCTCTTACTCCATTCCCTTTCCTTGTGATTGACTTCTCCCTGTCGCACCCCGAGGCCAGTGTTTAGGGCGGGCCGGGCGTTTTCGCCAGAGGCTTCCTCACCAATTATGACCCTGAAGCTGAACAAATGGTAGCAGTTTCATAGATGGGGGCGGATCATTTTAAACATGTGGCTCTCGCCTGAGCGCCGCGCACATTCGTTTTCAAGCGTTTCACGGAGTCTCGTGGTCAGCGAACAAGACATAGTGTTTAGGAAGGATTTAGGAGTCCGAGGGTGCAACAGTTACGTTGGTTCGCGGTTGAAGTCCCAAGAATGGGACTCTGACACGATTCAGGACCGTCAAGACGCAACAGTCAAGTTGATCCGTGGCGTTGGAATCCCGAGAACAATGTTTTGGTGTGCTTCAGGGTCTTCCAAACATTGTTTTCCAACGAGGCAGTTCCCTCAATGGAAATGAACCATTGTGGGGGCCTGTGAAGAGGGAGCTTGGAGGGAGGGTATATTCCAACATCGTTGATGACTCTTGGGTTTCCACTGATCCTCATCCTCCTTGTCCTGCTCCTCCTCTTCCTCCTCAGTCCCTCCATCAGTTCGTCCCCTTCCCTGTCCTCGCTCTCCTCCTCCTCCTCTTCCTCCTCTTCCTTGTGCTCCTCTTTCTCCTGCAACTGCTCGTCGTCTTCCTCCTCGTCCTCCTCGTCCTCCTCTTCCTCCTCCTTCTCCTGTTGTCGTTTTCGTTGTCGTGCTCCTGCTCGTCTCCCCCTCCTCCTCCTCCTCCTCCTCCTCCTCCTCCTCCTCCTCCTCTCCCTCCTTCTCCTGTCGTTGTCGTCCTGCTCCTCCTCCTCCTCCTCCTCCTCCTCCTCCCTCTCCTTCCCCTCAGCGACCTTCGACCGATGTGCTCGCCAAGAGGAGGCGGACAAAAACGAAAGCTCCATAGACTCGAGCTCCCCCCATGAAAGACTACTTGATCCCCGCCGCTTCCCCTCCTTCTCCTTCTCCTCCTCCTCTCCTCTTCCTCCTCCTGAGAGTGCGTGGTGCACAGCCTTGAGCATCCTTCCCGCGGCCGTCTTTTCCTCAAGGTCTTTCTACTGCGCCATAAAGGCTGCACGTGCCTTCCCGCGCGCCGTCTCGCATGGTTTGGGCCAGCTTCGGAGGCTTGGCGCTGGTGAACCTGGCCCTCAGCAGCGGGATCACCGCCTTCTCCGCCTGGGCGACACGCGGAGCGTTCGCGGAAAGCAGAGTCCGCCCGGCCGCGGGCAGGGCGGAGGTGACCTACTGGGCGATCCCACAGCCGGTGTGTCACTGCCACTGCCAGTGCGAGGCGATCACGAGCGGGGCCACCCCGTACTTCAACTTGATTTACGGTGCGTTTTTGGCGATCTTCTTCTCGATTGTCCAGGTGGTGCTTACGTGCAGCCATGGCGCTTGTAGGCGCAGGGCCTCTCTTGCCAGCGGGGCCAGTCCCGCTGCCCCGGGAAGCGGACGGTTGGCCGTTGCCGACGGGTCCCCGGGCTTCCGCACTCAGGAGGGCTTCTGTCAAGTACGTGGGCGCGGGCGAGGAGTTGTTACACGAGCGGTTGTTTCTGAGTGATGTTGTGGCTGGGGTGACGACGTGCGCTAGCCCAGACTACGACGACGTGTACGACGAGGACTACAGCGACGGGGCGACGCTCGAGGTGGTGAAGTTTCTGGGCGACAGCGGGGGGCTCCCGTGGGGCCTCGGGGGAGCCAACCTCTCTACCGCTTCCGCGCGGCCCCCACGGACGCGGATGTGCAGCGGCTACTCGCGGAGGCCCCCCGGGGTGATCGCCCTCCGGCCCGCGCCCGGCGCCACGGCTGCCGGGCCTCCGCCGGCGGCCAGCGCCGCGCCTGTCCTTGGTGCCGCTGGGGCGCGCCGAGCCGGGTGTGGGCCGAGCACGTCAGCGGGCACAGCACGGAGGTGATCGTCACCCTCGCGCCGGGCGCGGCGGTGCTCAACGCGCGGCCGGTGCTCGTCAGGCAGCTGATGAACTACCAGGCCGAGACGGACGGTTTCTGCGAGGAGCGGATCAAGTGGTGCCGAGCGGCCACCGCGGCTCACGTGGCCGACGTGGCCGTCGAGGACGCCGTGATGACGCTCTCGGCGGTGTGCGCGCCCGACGTGCAGCGCCGCAGAGAGTTCAGGAAGTCGGTGCAGGAGATGACGATGCAGACTTCGATGACTTCCCTCTCAGCGGACCTCGAATGGCGGAGTGGCACTGCCGCGAGACGATCAAGCTTGCGGAGGGCCCTCGGGCGCAACGCACGAAGTGGCCGGCGGAGGCCAAGATCCCGGACGGGGACCGCGCGATCCACGAGGACTCCAACCGGTCCCTGTGCCAGGAGCTGGCAGCCACCTGCGACGGGCTCAACATAATGAACTTGGCGTGCATCGAGGTGGTCGTTCGCCGGAGGCAGCTGAGCGCCGAGGCCCACGCAGCGAGGGCGCGTCCCACTTCATGGGCGACGGGCTTCGTGCAGGAGGGGCGCTGGTCGCCCCGGCCCTCGCCGCCCACGTCTCGGAGCGCCTCCGCACCGAGGCGGCCATCACCAAAGAGAAGCGAAAGGCGGCCGAGAACGGGACCCTCCGCGCCAAGCCGCCCAGGGAGGTGGCAGGGGCGAGGGTGGCGGCGGGGCCGCCAGCAATGGCTAGTGTTAAAGAGCCAGGGGCCGGAGTGGCTCGCCGTTCCCTTTCGTCAGCTATGAGCCGTGGTGCAGACAGAGACCCTCGCAGGGCGGCTCAACCCGCGGGGGAGGCCTCGAGAGCGTTTGCCGGGCCAGGCCTGCCTCGGGTTTTCCTGGAGGAAGGGAGCAGGGAGCATCCCGTCGAGGTCGCGGGACGTCTTCCCACTGCCGCGCCTTGCCGCTCAGCTCCTGGGCAGTGGGCACCAGATGTACCGCTTGACGACCCGGCGGATCTTACGCCGGTTGGCCATCGCCCAGGCGGTCAACAAGTCAGTCGACGCCCTGAACTCATGTACTGCCGCAGTGCCAGCACGCTGTCCTCGTTCATCTGACCTCTCGTGTCCGTGAGCTGGGCCCAAAGCCCCCTGGCGTCCTCCAGGAGCTTCGGGTTCTTAAACACTGTTACGCGGGGGACCTGGGGCAGATGTCCCGGGTCCCCAGGGTCTTGCAGAATTTGTCGCACCCCGAGCGGGGGCGCCAACCTGTATATCTGGTTTCGGTCTTGAGTGGGACGCCGTGTGAGTGTCTGCAGGATTTCGAAGAGCGAATGCTTGTCGGCGAAGCGGCGTGGAGTGTCCTGGCCGAGCAAGCTGCACAAGTCCCGCCTTACACTGACCCCCTTTTGAAGAGGCCTGACGGTTTCGGTGAGTTCGCGTCCATGCTGGGCTCTAAGGGTTTTGTGAGGTTCATGCGGCGTTTTGCCGCTAGGATCGGGGCGTTCTCTGTGCGAGAAAAGTCAGGGAAGCAACGACTTGTCCTGGACTGTAGGCAGTGTTATCTTCGTTTTGCCTCGCCGCCACACACTACTGAACTTGGTGGCCTCGGTAGTTTGTGCGACCTAGAACTCCCCGTGGGTCAGGCCCTGTACTGGGCTGAAGCGGATACTAAATATCATTTTTACGAGTGTGGGATCCCTGAGTCCTTGTCGGACTTCTTCGCGTTCGAGATGGATACGAAAACTTATCGGGCATGGGGTACCTGAGGAGCTCCTCAGAGGTTTGCGGGAAGACGAAACGGTTTCCATGTGTGTGACGGTCCTCCCCATGGGTTCACGTGATCCTTCTGGCTGGTTCACGGGTACAACACCCAGGTCGCCTCTAGAGAGATTGCGAAGAGCCATATCCTGGTGGATGGGCATCCCGCTCCTAGCCTCGGCGCTGACGGCACGATGTGCATGGGATACTGTGACAATCTCAACGATGGCGCTTTTTCGCCTGAGCATTCCGGGAAGCTCCGGGACGCCGTGCAGAGGAGGATGGAGGAGGACGGTTTCATGCTCCACGAAGTCTCGGGACCCTCCCTCGTGGCCGCGTGCTGGGTTCGGTTCTTAACGGTAGCCAAGGCGTTTTCAGCCCCTGGTCCCGAGAAGCTCTGGAAATTGATCCTGGTTTTCCATTGGTTCAGCCGGGGCCCTGTCGTGTCGAGAATGATGGTGGAGGAGATGATCGGTCACTGCATTTACATAGCCGTGCTGAACCGGAGTGCTCTACCAGTCTTGCGGCACCTGTATGACTTTGTCGCGCAGAGCTGCGTGCCCGAACGTCTCTGGCCGAGTTGCTGCAAAACATGTCGAGTCATCGTTGGCCTCCTCCCTCTGCGCGTCGCCGATCTGTGTCAAGAGTGGAGTCCGACAGGGCTCGACCCCCTGGAGGATGTCTAGTGCAGGTCACGTTGGAGCCCCTGGGGTCTTTCATGAAGGTCTTTGGGACAACACGGGCGACTGGGACTCTTATAGGTAAGACGAGGACCCCGATTTCCCTGAGGTGCCTGTAGGTTGTCTCAATAACGATTGGAAGGTTGTGTTGTACGGGGGGTGGCGCTTCCTGGACGAGAGTATTACGATTAGGGAAGGCAGGACGCTCATCCTGGCGCTCAGAAGACTGTCTCGGGCCCATCGAAACTTTGGGAAACGTCATTTGGTGGTGGTCAATATGGGGTTATGCTTCGCTCCATCGGAGGGGCGTGCGTGCTCGTATGATTTGCTCTGTCAGGGTCAGTCAGCAGGTCGGGGCGCTGCTTCTGGCTACCAACAGTCGCCTCCGGCCGCGATGGGTCTCCAATGAGTGCAGTGTTCCAGACGAGCCCTCGCGCGGGATCGGGAGGCAGGACAATGACCGCCGGGCCAAGCCTGAAGTCCCTTGCCGGAGAAGTGAGGCAGCTGAGCGGGAGGACGGCTGTCGGGAGCGGCGGCGTCGCATCCTCGAGCTTGGCGCGGACCTCTTCGCGGAGCCTCCCGGCCTCGAGCGGAGGCGTGATCATCACCGGCAAGAAGCCGGCGGGTCTCACCTCCAGGTGCCTGACGGCTCGAGCGGGGCCAGCCGTCGACCAGCGGCCGAGCCCCCCGCTGCGGACCAAAGAGTCGCTGCAGCTGGCCTCGAGCAAGCGGAAGGCAGCCGAGCTCGACCCGAAAGGGAGGCTGCTCGCCTGGCGGGTAAAGAGAAATCTCGCCTCGAGGAGCGGAGCATCTCGGAGCACGTGATGAACGATTGCGAATTTTACCTGAAGGAGTTCAGGGACTTCTGCACGGAGAGGCTCACGGACTTCTGCGCGGAGAGCGGGCTCCCGTCTGGGATCGGCGCGGCGACGGACCTCGCGCTGGTGGACTGCTTCGACGAGAAATTCCTTGACGGCTACGGCCCCTTGCTCGGAGAGAAGACGATCGCGTCGGTGCAGTTCGCGGAGGCCCAGACCAAGAACGACCAGGTCTGGCCTCTCGTGCGGGCTCAGCGGGCGGTGAAGGGCTGGAGGAAGGCGCCTCCCACCAGCCTCCTCCCGCTGCCGTGGCTCATCACGGCGGCGTTCTGCAACTTCGCCGCGCACGAGGGCAGGCTCGACATGGCGCTGTTCATGGCCGTCTGCTTCGTGTGCCATCAGAGGCCGTCCGAGGGTCTCGGCATTCGTGCCAAGTATTTGGTCCCTCCCGTCGCCGGGGCAAGGCTCGGGTTCAGGCACTACGCGGTCATCATCAGGGAGTTGGATGAAAAGGTTCCGGACAAGGTGGGGGTGTTCGACAACAGCCTCCTGCTGGACCAGCCGTACCTCGTAAGCCTGGGCTTGGCGCTGCATCGTCGTGCCCAAGGTCGAGACGGGAACGCCCTGCCGTTCGACTTCCAACTGAAGGACGCGCACGTGATGCTCAACAAAGCGGCCAGCCACCTCGGCATCCACGACCGCATGTCCCTGTATCAGTGCCGGCACGGCGGAGCCGCCCACGACCTCGTGAGCAAGCTCAGGGACCGCGCGCGTCGGTGATGGCAAGATGAAGCTGGCAGACCGAGTCGTCCGTTCGGCGTTACACCAATATGGGGAAGGTGCAGAACCTGCTCGCGGGGTTGTTGCCCAGTGTGATGGAGCACGCCAAGAGATGCGCCGTGAACCTCGACAGCGTGTTCCTCGGGCTGAAGACCCCGCTCGTTCCCGCCCGCGGCGGGTGAAGGCCCCGACCCCCCAGCCCAAGGCAGACAAGCGGCAGCCTGCTAGGCGTTTGAAATAGGGGCTCGTGGGCCGTCGAGGTTTCTTAGAGGTGTTCTGCGGTACAGGCCGTTTAACCAGTGCTGTGAGGCGCCTCAAGATTCGAACAGAGGGTTTGGATATCGACTCTGGTGATCTACTCGAGAAGAGAGTGGAGCAACGGATCCTTGCCCTGATTCGCAGTCAGAGGATTGTTTTTCTTTGGTCTGGCCTCCCTTGCAGTTCTCGGAGCAGGGCAGGAAGATGGGGAGGCACGGGCCCCGGGCCTCTTAGGGACGAAAACAAGTACATCATGGGTCTCCCTGGGCTCTCGGGGGAGGGCGCCAAAAAAGTGCTCATCGGTAACCAGCTGTTGTTCGTGGTTTGCCGCCTCTGCCGAGCTGCCTCGATTGCAGGTATCCCGTGGGCCATCGAACATCCTCGTACTAGTCGAGTCTGGAAAGCTCCCTCCATGAAACAACTCAGCAAGATCCAGAAATTCGGTGTCAACCAGGTCCCCCAAAATTTCGTGCACTTGGAATAAGGGTACCTCATCTCTCGTGCATGGGGCCGACCTGTCGCGGGTTGGTTTGCGCTGCCACATGAAACATGGGCTGTGCTCTCGAACTGGCTTACGCCATTCTTTCCTCGAGGGCAAGGCTTCCAAGGGTCAGTGGAAGACCCTCGGGGCCCAGGCCTATCCTTTTCAGCTTTGTGATCAGCTGGCCAAGCTGATTTACAACGTTTTAGACTAACAATTTCGTGGCTAAGGGAGATCTCCTGGCTCGCCTGACCGACCGCTCACCCTCCGGCCTCCTCGAGGCCTCGTGGTCGCTCGTGCTTCGCTTACATAACTTGCTGGCGCGTGCGGGCGCCACCTGAGAGAAAATGTTTGCTGGCCAGGGAGAGGGGAGCTCATGAGAGTTCGCGGTGCACAGCCTTGAGCGTCGTTCCTGCGGCCGTCTTTTCCTCAAGGTCTTTCTGCTGCGCCATCCCTATCCCCAACCTGCCTCCACTGTTTCCTTATTAAAAGGGGAAATCTCCTGGCTCGCTTGTCCGACCGGCCTCCTCGAGGCCTCGTGGTCGCTCGTGCTTCACTTACGTAACTTGCTGCACTTGCTTCACTTACAGAACTTGCTGGCGCGTGCGGGCGCCACCTGGGCAAAACAGGTTTGCTGGCCAGGGAGAGGGGTTCTCCTCTTCCTCTTCCTCTTTTCCTTCTTCCTCCTCCATTCGTTTTCCTTATACATAACTCCTCCCTGTCGCACCCCGAGGCCAGTCGGAAGGGTGGGCCGGGCATTTCGCTTGATTCCTTCTCATTTATGATCCTGAAACCCAAACATTGGCAACTGTTTTGCAAATGGAGAGCGGGCCGCTTCCAAAGTGTGGCTCTCGCCTTCGCGCCGTGCACATTCGTCTTAAACCATTGTTAGCGTTTCACAGGTCGAGGGCGGGCCGTCAAAATGTGGCTCTCGCCTTCGAGCCGCGCAAATTCGTTTTAACAGAATGCAGGAGTTTCGCGAATTCAGGGCGGTTTCACTTCAACATCTGGCTCTCGCCTCAGCGCCGCGCACATTCGTGCTAAACATGTGCAAGAGTTTCACGAGTTCCCATACTTCAACGTAACAGAAACGATGCTTTGTAATGACTTAGAACTGTCAGGGCGCAACAGTTATGTTGATTCGCGGTGCTGAAGTTCCCAGAATGGTGTTTTGGCGCGTTTCTGGATTATCAAGACGCAACAGTCAGGTTTACTCGTGGCGTTGGAATCCCGAGAATGGTGTTTAGGCACGCTGCAGGATCTTCAAACGGTTGTCTCCCAACGGGGCACTCCCTTCTGGAAATGAATCCTTGCAGAGGCCTCTGAAGAGGGAGCTTGGAGGGAAGGTTTCTTCCAACATCGTTGATGAGTCTTTGATTTGCACTGGTCCTCCTCCTCGTCCTCGTCCTCTTCCTCATCTCCCGCTCTCTCTTTCTTTCTCCGCTGCCCCATCCTGATTATTCTCCTTCTCCTTTCCCTTGGACATATCGCGGATTAGGAAGAGCATCATCATTCTCATCCACTTCCCTGAAAACCGCTGGCGCACAATCGTCACATTACACCGGGGCGCCAACAACCAATCACGGAATACACGAGGGGCACTTGACCATCGAGGCGGCACCTTGCCAATATCAACCAACAGTCTCGGCCACGCCAGGGCGCCATCGGGACGCCACGAGTAAACAATCGAAACTCCAGATTAGAGCTCCATGTGCAAAAACGATCGGGCCCCACTGGGGCAGCGTCGGCCAACCGTCGAGGCTGCGGCAGCAATCGATCGGGGTACCATCGACGAACTAGGTGGGCATCGACGGGAGGCCAGTGCCGCGGCGTCCGCGCGCCGCCGAATCAGGGACCACTGATGATCAGGGCCCCGTCATATTACCGCGCAACAACTCATGCGGGCACCTTCGGGGCACCGCCAACAAACCGCGGGCATCGTCGCGGCACAACCGTCGCAGTGTCTGGACACTGTCAACGCGTCGTCGAAGCACTGCCTGAGCACCGCCCGCACCGTCCACACACACGCACCGCGGGCACACCATCAACACGCGATCACGAACACATGAGGTGCCATTGACAAGCCGTAGAGGCGACGTCCGGGTTCCCGAGGGCACGGCGCAGAAATCGTCGAGGCACCATTGGCAGACGCATCAACGACCCTCTGGGGTGCCATGAAGAAACGACCGGGGCACCATCGGGGCTCCGCGGGGGCAATGTCAGGACAGTCGCTGGCAACTCATCGGGGCGCCATCCTGGCGCCGTCGACAACCCATCGGGGCGCGGTCGGGGCGCTGGGGCAAAACCGAGGGGCCACCATCAAGCCGTCGGCGTACAGTCGGGACGTCGTCCGGGCGCCATCACAGCGCCATCAACGCGCCGTCGGACCGCCCTCGGCGAAGCATCGCGCCGCCGTCGGGCCCCAGGAAAGCCCGAGACCGCCCGGACCTCGGTTCTCGAACCTCGATGAAGTCCTCGCCCCTCCCCCCCCCTCCAGTCGGCTTGCATCAGCGAGCGGTTGGACTCCAGGAGCGCGGCGAGCCTCCTGTCAAAACAAGTCAACATCGAATCGCGACATCGGATCGACTCGGAACGTGCGTCGGATCGGGTCGCACCGGCATGGAGTCGGAACCGAATCGGACCGGCCGCGCCAAGATGCACGACGTGCCCATGCGAGCATCGGACCGCATCGCCTTGACGGGACATCGGCATCGAATCGGATCGAGCCAGCTGACATCGGCATCGAATCGGATCGAGCCAGCTGACATCGGCATCGAATCGAGCCGATGGAGTCGAAGTGGGCCCTGCCTGTCGATCTGGAGGCACATGCGCGCGGCGTGGCGCCCGTACTCCGCGAAGGCCGCCGCCTCCTGCAGCATGGCCTTCCACGGCCGGCACGGGTCGCCTTGCCGGGGGCTCAGGAGGGAGGGAAGGGAGGGAGGGAAGGGAGGGAAGGGAAGGGAGGGAACGGAGGAGGAGGAGGAGGAGGAGGAGGAGGAGGAGGAGGAGGAGGAGGAGAAGGAGGCGGAGGAGCAGCAGGAGGCACGGGCGGCGAACGCATCCACATCTACTCCCCCGCGGTCTGGACTCCAAGGCGCGATCCCGTGGACACGTGGTCGCGTTGATACGCTCCGCGCGGGGCATCCGCGGATAAGACGCCCCGTATTAACGGGGTCGCGGCTGAAGGGCCCGACCCGCGAGGCCGTGGATACATATATGCTTTCCGCAGACGAAGGGGGAACAGGACGAGGAGGAGGAGGAGGAGGGGAAGGAAGAGGAGGAAGAGGAGGAAGAGGAGGAGGAGGAGGAGGAAGCGGAAGAAAGATGATGAAGATGTTGATGTTAATGATGATGAGGATGATGATGATGATTCTCCCGCTCGCGCGCTAGCGAGCTGTCTCCGAGCGCGGCCGCGGCGTGCGCGCGCGGGGCGGCCCAAAATGGGCAGGCCCGTCCCGCGCGCTCAAGCCGGGGCGCCGCGCGTCAGACGGTGGAGTCCGTCTGGTCGCCGATGTCGGCGAGGCAGCGCCCGTCAGCCTTAGAGTGGGAGAGGAGGGAGGGGGGCAGAGAAGCTGCGGAGACAGCAGGAGCTTGCTCACAGAGAATAGAAGAAGCATTCTCCCGCTCGCGCGCTAGCGAGCTGTCTCCGAGCGCGGCCGCGGCGTGCGCGCGCGGGGCGGCCCAAAATGGGCAGGCCCGTCCCGCGCGCTCAAGCCGGGGCGCCGCGCGTCAGACGGTGGAGTCCGTCTGGTCGCCGATGTCGGCGAGGCAGCCATACCCGTGCTCAAGGACCTTGCGAAGTGACAAGGTTTTGGCGGGCGGCCGCAAGCAGGGCAGGCCAAGCGGCGGGGCCGACTTGGAGGAACGAAGCGACAAGGCGGTCGCTGGCGGTGGCGAAGAACAAGATACGAGCCCGTGCGTGCTCGGGCAGCGCAGCAAGAACTGTGGAGGCGGCGGCGGCTTGCAGGTAGCGCTCGGCACTGGAAGCTTGACGCCAGCGCCCTCGCCAGAAGACGCGGGGGACGTCTTCCGTAGCGATATAGAAGTCTGTTGCGCCAGAGCCCCGCAGACAAGCGGGCGTCAGGTTGAGCCCCTGACCTGCTTTGGCAAGAGGGACGCCCAGAGCCAAAAGCAGATGATTCCACCGAGTACGGAAGCCGCTCGCGCCGAAGGGGGCGAGAGGATCGGTGGAAGCCAACCTCCCAAACACATGATTCAATATCATCACCGTGCCCCGATCGGAGCAGCGAGCATGTTGCGTCGGGTACGTTCTTCTGGTCTTTGGAACAAGAATCGAAAGAAAAGCATCCCCTTCAACTTCGAGACGGTCGCATGGAAGCGACAGGTCACAGCGGCGTGACGCCAGCAGTTCGCCAGGCCTGAGGAACATCGTGAAGCCCATGAGCAGCAGGGCCGCCATCACCGGCCAGTCCCAGGCGAGACAGAGCCCGACCATGGCGCGCAGCAGCGCGCGTGGCAAGGGGGGACGGAGCTTTGGCGGCTCCGCAAGCTTCCATTGTTTCGCTACGTCCCAAGCTTCTGTCAGAAAGGCCTTCCAATGCGGATGGGCGCTTTGGATTCCCAAGATGGCATGGACCAAAATATAATGAGGGAAACCTGCATCATGAAGCCACACGCCGAAGGTCGCGAGGAAACGGGCGAGAAGTATCCCGCTTCGGTAAAGTGTGGCGGGTGGCACGCCAGTGTGTTCTGCTAACCACAGCTCGAAGGCATCAATCGATCTCGAGCGACGGTCGAGATACGCGGAGGTGAGGTGAGAATCGCGCACGAAGGGAGTGCGCGGAGGGCGAGCGGGCGCGGACGGCGCAGCCCGACTAAGCCCTTGGCCTGCGGTCGGCGCCGCGGCTCCCAGAGAGATGCAGAGGCCGCAGACGCACCACAGGATGAGCGCAGGGCGGCCAGGGCTTGGAGAGCTGATCAGCGTGGCGGCCCTCCTGCGCCTGGACGCGTAGAAGGGCGGAACGAGGGCGTCCCGCCCGTCGGTCTCGAACCCCGACGCCTCCGCCAGCATCGCCCGCGCCGAGCTGAAGGATCCGCCCATGTTACGGTAGGCACGGCGAGCCCCTGCTTCGATCTCGGCTGGCAGAGCGCCCCCTCCCTCGAGGGTCGCCCAGTCAAAAGGCGGGCGCGGCTCGGCACGCGCAGCTGCGGCTGCTTCGGCGAGCTCGGAACGAGCTGCCGAGGACGTGAAACCCGAATGATGTGGAACGGGCACCACCTCCGCGAAGGCGTCGAGGATCTCGGACGGAGGGGAGTGGGATCCCCACAGCGCTGCTGGGATGGCGCCGTGACTGTCCTGCACGTGGTACAGAAGGTCGAAAAGGCAGGCCAATTTGCCCGCGCGCCGCCGCTGCTCGATCTTTGAGCCGAGCCCGATGCCACGGATGGCGCCCGCCCCCATGGCTTGGAGGTCAGCATGCGCGGGGATAGCCTCGGGCTCGACGACGGCCACGTAAGGATGCAACCACGAGGCCTCGTCGATCGGCTCGGCGCCGCCTGTCTGAAACAGGCGCTTGTAGGCGTGCAAGGCCCGCAGGAGGCAGTGCAAGTCATCCTTGCCCTCGGGCTCGGCGGCCCCTGCGGGTGCGAAAGACCTCAGCCACGACGCCGCGCTCTGGAAGGCAGCTTGCCAGGCGGGTCCCCACCTCACCACAGTGATCTTCTCACCGCCGATGTTGAGGCGCCACGCTAGGGCGCTGGCGGCCCCTGGAGGCAAGGGCTGCTCAGCGGCCGCAGAGGCCGTGCGCCGCGCTGCGAAGGCTGCAGCCGCGGCGCTTCCAGCGTCACCGCTGTGAAAGCCGCTGAGATGCAGCTCGGGCTCTGAAGCTCGGCCAAGCGCGAAGCCACTCGAAGACCCCCCTTCCTCGGCGGCACGCCCTCCTCCCTGCGGGGCCGCAACAGCATCGCTGGAAGAGCGCATGCCTACCGAAGTCGGAGGGGCCTGAGCAGCGGAGTCCGCGCGGGAGCTGCCTGCGAAGGCGACGTCCGAGCTCGCACCATGGCGGGGCGTGGCTGGCTGCTGCGAAGTGGCGGGGCTCGGGCGACGCTTCGGAGCGACTCGAGGGGAGCGCACCTCGCGACGCCCAGGCGACGTCGCCTGACGCGAAGGCGCACGAGAGGAGTCGCGCGCGTTCGCTCGACTAAGCCCCTGGCCGGCGGCCGACCCGCGGGATCGCGACGCCGCACGCCCACCAGAGTGGTGACGGGGTGGTGGCGGCGGCGGGGGGACGGGCCGCGGCGTCTCGGAGCCTGCACGCGTGCCGCGGCCCCGAGAGCGGCTGCGAGCCGCGGCGTGAGCGGCGGGCGGAGAGGCCTCCGCGCGGCGAGGGAAGGCCGCCTGCAAGCGGAGGAGGACCTCGGGGTTCAGGCCCGCCACGACGCGCTCGAGGTCCACCGAGGAGTCAGCGAGGGCACTCAGCACGACGTCCTCGAGCTCCGTCGGAGAGTCCTCCTCGCACGCGGGCTCCGCTCTCGAGCGGCTGCGGGCGCTCGCGGGCGGAGACCCGTCAGGAGTGTGCGGGCCCTCCGATGCCTCCCCCGCCGGCGGCCCCGACGGCTCCTCAGGCGAGATCGAGCCGTCGATGGGAGGCGAGGAGCAGCCTCCCGAGGGAGAGGTGTGATCAGTCCCGTACGGGTTCGGAGACCGCGTGCGGCTGCGGGCAGGGCTGCGGCTCCGCGGTGGAGGGCCCACTCCCGCGGCGGAGCTGGAGCGTGCCGCGCCTGCCCAGCGGCGCGCATTAGCAGTGCGACGCGCCCTGCGGCCCGGCGTCGTGGCGGCCCCCCCCTCAGGGGCGGGGAGCGCCGCCGTCGAAGCTCGCCGCTGCTTCTTGGCGCGCCTGTTGCGCGCGGCGCCCGTGCGCGAGGCGGAGTGCGGCGCGTGACCACCGCGATTGGGCTGGTCCTCGACAGCTTCGTCCCGCGGGCCCAGGCGGGCGCGGACCGCGCGCCCCTCACGACGGCTGAAGCTGGACGCCGGGTCGTCGGCAGGTCTCGCCAAGGCGCGCGGGTCCACAGCTTCCACCTCGGCCAGGGAGCGCCCAGTGGACGACGCGGGGGCGTCCCCAGCACGAGCGGCACGATCCGCGTTGGCGAGGCCCGTCGAGACCTCAGCGTTGTGCAGGACGGCGCGCAGAGTTTTGCGCCAATCCCGACCCAGCTGGACGGGAGCCGTACGCGGCAAGCCCGCGGCCTCACGACTGGCGGCCTCGCGCAAGCGTCGGAAGTAGGCGCGATCGGCCATCCCTTCCGCGAGCTCGGCACGAGCGACGGCACGCTCGCCTTCGCCGCGTGCAGGAGCCTGCACCGTGCGCCTGGTGGCGTCGGCACGCGCGGTGCGGAGTGCGTCGAGCTCCACGCGGCCGCGCGACACGGCGGAGGCGAGGATGGCATCAGACTCAGCCGCCCGCGTCGCGAGGGCAGACGAAACCCCGCTCCTTGGGAGAGGCGCGCCCGAGGCGGGGAGGGCAGCCCGAGGGGCCAGCTCCGCACTCGCCAGGGCGACCCGCGAAGAGACCGCTTCTTCGAGCGCCTGAAGGGCCATGGTCGACCCAGGAGCCAGCTTGCCCTTGCGGGCGCCCTTCCCTGCCGCTTTTGCCTGGGCGTAGGCGCGAGCGGCAGGACCGTCACCGCCCGTGCTAGGACCAGCGGGCGGCGCGGCGGCCTGCGAGAGGGCCTGGAGCAACACTGACTTGGCGTCACAGAGCTGCTTCCAGTTGAGCGCGCGGGCTGCTCGCTCATCGGCCCCCAAGTGCGCAGGAGTCCTGTCTGGATGGTAGACTAGGGACTGGCGCCTGAAGGCGGCTTCGATGGTGCTGCGCGAGGCCCCGTCCACGACGCCAAGCAGTTGGCGAGAGGCGCTCACCCTGGCCGCTCGCTGGAAGATGC